ATAATAACAATAATTTTTTCAAAATAAAAATAATAAAATTCAAAAATAAACCATATGGTAAAGGAATTACACATATAGTAATAATAACTCATATAAATAACAAATTTTAAGTTAAATACATAACATATACAGTAATAGTAACACATAAAAGACCTCTTCTTTTTCTAAATCAAATTGGCTAAAGGGGCTATTTGCACCCTCCACTTAATTGTTTTCTGCGGTTAACACCTTCCAAAATTTTTCCTCCCTATTCACACTCTCAACTTTTCAAAACCCGTGAAAAACTCAACATTTTAATGTGCCGTGATGGTACCATTACAAAATGCACTATGTGGCACTCAAAAATTGACGTGACACTATGTACCTTTAGTAATCCAATGTGGATACTTTTTAATCCGATGTACACGTTTTTTTAATGACGTGGCATAATTTTTTGGTGAATAACTCCAAAAAAAAAAAAACTTGGACCAGGGATTTTATTAATTTAAATTTTTTTTACTTTTATTTTTTATTTTTTTCTTTTTTTTGCTTTTTGGAAAAAAAAAAATTTTTTTGCTCATCTTCTTCTTTCTCCTCACCCTCAGCATTGTTTTTACCATCTCTTCATCATCCTTCTGGGTTCCTCATGGAACCCAGAACATCATCCTCCTAGGTTCCTCGTGGAACTCAGATCTAGGTTCCACAAGGAATTTTGGGTTCCTCGTGGAACCTAGATCTGAGTTCCACAAGGAACCCAAAACTGGGTTCGTGGAACCCAGTTGCCCTAATCCTTGGATTCCAAGATTCAGAGGATTCACGTGTTCGATTTCGACATCAACATCAACGTCGAAGAAAGAGATGGATGAGTTTGAATTTTTTTTTTTTTTTTACAGATTTGGGAAGTGATTTTTATGAATTTTTGTTCTTTCGTTTTTGATCTTTTATGGTGGCTGTTTGATGATTGGTGAAGGTGATGAGAGTAATGATCGGCAAAGATGGTGGGAAGATGGACATTCGAGGGGGGCTGGAGAGAAGCTGGGAGAAGAATTTTTTCTTTTTTTGGTTGCTCGGGGATTGATGAGGGTGATGGTGATGAAAGTGATGCTCGATGATGATGGGATGATGAAGATCAGAGTCTAAGGGGGAGCGGGCTTGCGGCTAGTTTTTTGGCTGAACCTAGCTCTGGGTTCCACAGAGCTGGGTTCGTGAGGAACCCAGTTTGAGGAACCCAGTTTGTACCTTTCTTTCGCTTTTCTTTTCTATGATTGTTTCTGGTTGTGATAGAATAATAAGATGATGATTTGATTCTTTGATCGGTTCCCAACTTTTCTTGCAAATGAATTAAAAGATTGTTCTTTTTTTTTTCAATTTGAATCAACCTCCATTAGAACCATGGGTGGAAAGCTCGAGGAAGATTAAGAAGGGGATGAAAATAAACCCTAAATTCCCAAAATGGTTATGCAAATCTATTTTAAAAGTTTCGTATGAAGTGGACTTACTATACACGTGACATCTACGTGTGTGTAAAATAAGCCACATCATTAAAAAAGAGATCCACATTGGATTACTAACGGCATATAGTGTCATGTAGTGTATTTTGTAACGGTACCGTGACGACACGTTAAAATATTGGGTTTTTCATGGGTTTTGAAAAGTTGAGGGTGTGAATAGGGAAGAAAAATTTTGGAAGTTGTTGACTGCAAAAATCAATTAAGTGGAGGGTGCAAATAGCCCATTTGGCCAATCAAATTATATAAGTATATGATCATAAATTACTTAATACCCATAAAGTTAAGTATCAAATATAAATCTTTGAATATTTAGGTAAATGTTAAATTTAAAATTTTTATATATAAATATTTTTAAATTAAATATTAAATATAACACATTTAACGTGTACACCAAAATGCTCACTCTTATTTGAAATAATAGAATGTTCAATAGGCCCATGATAACTATGAGTTTGGAAAGAAATTGGGCGGAAGCCCAAAGGTACTATCATTGGATGAGTTTGTATAACAAATTGACAAAATAGGCTTATTGGGTCTATCAAAATCAAGAAAAATTGTTTTTTTTTTTTAAGTTAGGTCAGAATTAGAAAGCACAGTATGATGATTGATAGCATGGTTTCCAATACCACAATATTTTTACTGTTAAACTTGAGACATATTATTCCACTTTGTTATTGACTAAAAAAGACTGCCAAACACAATTATTTGCTTTGATAGTCCACAAACAATTGCCCCATGGCAGTCCAAATCATATTTTTAATTTTCTGTTTGCTTTCTGTGCACTTTGTCAAAAAAAGATTGGGGCACCAATGTTTGCAATGGCAGCAGCAATTATTGAAACGTTAAAAGGAGTCTTTTCCATGATGATCACATCATAAAGCTGGGATTCGATTCCGTAAAATTAAAAATTTTTTTCTTGAGAAATTAATTTCCTTGCTTTTGTCCTAGTAAATGCATGGCTTGAAGATGAAGCCCCTCCCTAGGGCCCATACATAATCAATTTCAGATATGTTGAATACTTTTAGGTTAAACTTTTAATTTTATCTCTTAAATATTATACGAAACTTTTAAATTAGTTTTTAAATTAAAAAAATTATTGATTTGATCCTTAAAATTTTTAAATTTAGTTTCAAATTAATCTATTAAAAAATGATTAATGTGTATTATTACTAACATGATGTATGATCATTAAAAATAGACACATTAATTTTCTTTAACAAAATAATCAACTTGAAAACAAATTTAAAAACTTTAAAAATTAAATAAATGTTTTTATTTAAAAACCAATTCAAAAATTTATTAAGTATTTGAAAGATCAAATTAGAAATTTAACCTACTTTTTATACTTTCAGTGCAGGGAAGAGCCCTAATAAGAGGGACCCATTTACAACTTGGGAAGGACAGGCAAAACGCATTAAGAGGTAACCTTTGACAAAAATAAACATTTTCTGTGCTGAGTGTCTCACAAAACCTTGGATGCTGCTAATTAGCCAATTTAGCCTCACTTAGCAAGCCCATTGTTTTATAAAATTCGTGCAAACTTAAGCGACAAAAGATTATAAAACAGCTTACGGGCATCGGAAATTGTTACCAAGACAGGATCCAATAAATAAAACTGAGAATCAGCATCTTATATATGAATATATCCACGGTATTACTAATGGGGTAGAGTGTGTACACACCTTTGGATATCTTTGAAGAATGATGACACAAAGAGATACAATATAGTAAGATATTTCTCTTTTTTTTAATCGACTTACTATACAGTTCTACTTTTCAATTTTGAACTCTAAGATCAATTCCTAACTTGAATTTCTTATACTCTAATAATCGAGACATTTAAATTTAGAAAATATTTAATACAATTGTTTGAAATTTGTGATTAATGATTTTACCTAATCTAATGGATAAAAGTATTTATATTATTATTATTACTTATTAATTATCAAATTAAATGAAATTACTTATTGTTTGGGCATTTTCGCAATCCGACACTGTTGAAGTTCTCAGCTGTTTTTACACCTGTAAATCCCGAAGATATTTCTTCGGAGAAAACACTCCGACGCTCAAGTCAGCAATACTCGATATTCTAGAGAGAGATGCTCTCAATGAGTAATTACAGAGAGAGAAGCGTAGAGATTAATTACCTTCATCGAAGGTAGTTGGGGGTATTTATAACTCCAAGTGCTGACATGCATCTGCATATGTAAGCATTTCATTGGCCCACGTGGTACTGGTCACGTGGGTATACTTGCATTAGTGTTTCCTCAACTTGGGTTAGTGGGCAGTAACCTAGACCCGTTATGCACAGCCCTGTTTGGATGTTGAATCTATGTTGGGCCTATTCCAACACTTATCACTTATTTTAAATTATTATACCAAATAGTGATACTTTTATGTTTCAAAATATAAGTCATTTGGCATTTTTACAGTCACTTTAGGTAGTATTTTTTACTATATAATATAAAAATAATAATTAATTTTTTATTGGTAATTTTTATTGAGTAATTTGTTTAATTAATAAAAATATTAATTATCTCTCCTAAACTATAAAAATATACATATGAAAAAAGTTTTTTTTTTTTTAAAAAAGAGTAATGATAGAGCGAACAAAAACACGATACGACAAATGATGCAAAATTAATATATATGATGTAATTATTAATTTGACCCTTTTACATCACTTATCATCTCTCATTTCATCTCACGTTTTCATTCGCTATATCATTATTCTTTTGAAAATAGGTAATCCACAAAGTCTTATATTTTAAAAGAGATAGAGTAGTGGAAAACATGACGATCATGGACGTTTGGAAACTCGAAATTCTATTACTCTAATCATCGTATGATAAATCAAATCTAGAACTACTCCCAGATAACTAAAAAAAAAAAACGCATTTAAAGCCGCGTTAAGTATGTCGGCAATTTTTTTTTTTTTGTAAAAGTATGTCGGGTAATTTCTGTGTGGTTATCAAATTATCGAAAATTTATGTATAATAATATAATTTAAATGATTTATTATTAATAA